TGCCCAACGAGTTGAGCAGCTTGCAGCGCATGGGTCGGCAGTGGAGATTCAACCTGCGGTGATCCCTGCCCAGTTTGTGAGCTCGCACCTTCTACCGAAGCCATAGCACCCTTTCCGCCTGCGATCGTGACCCTTCCCGGGCTCGTAACATTTCCGCGCCCTGCGCCGCCCCCTCTGTTGTCACCCGTAACCGCCGCCGCGGGTCCACCGTAACCGCCACCGCGGGTTCTATCCTCACCTCCTCCGTCCCCTCCTTCGTCATCTCCTCCACGGCCGCCCCGTCCATGTCCCTCTCCTCGTGTTGGGGCAGGCGGCGGAATATGCCAATCAATTTTGCTTTCATAACTTGGACTTGTTTCGAGGTAATAAAAGTCACGACAGAGCTCCAACATGTTCTGCTCCTGAAGAATCTCGAATGTCTGCTCTCCGAACATTCTGACGACATGGTCGTCTGGTTGACGGCAATTTACCTCTGCGACATGGTCGATAACCGCTTGGAGGGCGGCCTCTTCAAATACCTTTTTGGAAAAACGGGGTTTTGATCTCCATTCGCCCTTATCATTGAGCGCCATAACCCATTCACCATCAAGAATTGCCGGTTGGAAAATATCTGGATGCCAAATTACATGGCGACCCCAATCGGACTCGTCGGTACTCCTGTGCGTCGTCCCGAAGAAATAGAGTTGACCTTTCTGCAACCTCAATGTGTGCGTCGGCGGAAGAGGACGTCCAAGCTTGATAGTGGGGCTCAGAGGTTTGCTTCTCATGGAGGAAAGAAATCCTCTTGAAGAACCCGAGGTTGGCGTTGCGACAGGAATGGCGACAGGAGTGACGACANTGGGGCTCAGAGGTTTGCTTCTCATGGAGGAAAGAAATCCTCTTGAAGAACCCGAGGTTGGCGTTGCGACAGGAATGGCGACAGGAGTGACGACATGCGAACTCGCAGCATGCTTGGAACTGGAAGGCGTTGAAGAGGACGCCATACCTGCAGTATATTTCTGATATACTGTCTCTAAATCCAAAGGCTCCACACCCTTGCTGACCTTTTCCTCGTCGTTTGCTTTGAAATTGTCCTCTTCGGTGAACTGAGCCTTGTAATAATTTAGTGTGAGTTCCACCTTGCCATTGTCGAATAACATTCCTCAAGTTTCTCCACGAAGTTGGCCGCAGCCTCCCTAGAAGCACCATGAAAGCCATCCAATGCACCAATTACGACATCTCGGCGACACTTGTAGTCGTCCTCGAATCTTAGTTTCGGTCTTGTATCGAGGAACATAAACTTGTATACATTCGCCCTTTTCTTAGCTGACAGCTTGAACCACATGTTCCTGTGTGGATCATAGTTGACCTCTTTCTGCACCTGGTAGAATTCACAGTTGTCCACACCCGTGTGCACCTCGTGCGCAACAAATGTCATCAAGAAGTTGAGGAACTTTGTGTCTCCCTCGATGGCCACAACATGGCGTCCGCTCTTGAGGAGATGCCACACAACCTGGGCGTGTGCTTTGCCGATGAACATAACTGCATTCTCGACTGGGCAGAAGAACTCTATGTGACCCGATAACATACCCGGGTTGCGCTCCATTTCCTTATAGACGAACCCCTTCAGGTGGTGCACACCTGCCGATGCATACGTCGTGGCCGTGAACTGTGTTTCGGCAATGTCCGAGGGTGTTACCTCTTGCCTTTTCCCAAGAGCTGCAGCGTCATCGTGCGACAATCGTCCCTCATATGTCGGCGGGATGTTAAGCTTCAGATCATCCCCGTGGAAAAGAACATACATCCTGTCCTCATCGGCCCACACACTGTTCCCGATTTGGTAGTGCTTCTTAACTTGACTCCTCCGAAACCATTTTTCCTGCACAACCATTCGTGACAGGAAGAATGTGGAGAAGACCCATGAAGGAAAGGTCCCACTGCCTGGGAACAAAAGCAATTAAAGTCCAGAAATCAGGACA